AGAAACTAGGGGTAAAGGATTGGGCCTCGGGCAACCTCACTCATATGGCAAACAGATCGCTGGCTGTGGTTGTTTCACGCAACATTTCTGTAAGGCCGTGAACTTAAAAAACTAAATTATGAATAAATACCCTAGTAAAAAAAGACACTGACCTCATAATTATATTTCCACTGTTATCTTGGTTAGCATTACAATCAATATCTTATCACAACTTTATCGTGAAATTGGTTAACCACAATGCACATTGGAGTAGATAGATAACTATTCATAAAATGCATTTCCTATAAATATGACGTGAATAAATTACTTTAGCCAGTTCAAGTTCAAGTTTTAGTGGTATATGTACATAAAGGGACCGTTATCCTAAAGGTGAGTCTCTTTACTATATAGCACATATAAAACAAAGTCGCTTTCTCTGTCACTATATCCGTATATATGCTTCTCTTCAAATCTTTAAAACTACGCAAAGGATTTTGATGTATTTTTTTTAATAGATAGATTGATTAAAGAGGAAAATATGTTGAGGATAATGACATACACGAAATAGTGGAGAAATTTAGTACCAGCACTTCATCCGTGTGAAAACTAGCTAGCTATTTATTCATATATTTATATGTAAACAACCATGCTGTATTTCTCCGTGTGATTGAGGTTGTTGGAGGCCCAACCCTTCCCCCTACCCCCAAATCCTCAAATACTATACTTTAATCCCTAAAATAAACTACAAAAGTTTGTCAACGCACTTGTGGTACCTCCTTTGTTATTACTAGTGCCTATGAACGGCGTCGATTGCTTACCATCAGGTAATCAGCCGTCAGCTCGTTTGGCGAGCTATCTCATAAACAAAGAACCAAATGACTAAATATGCTTACTATTAATTACAATAGCACTGAGAATAGCACTCATAACATTACTGGTTAAAAGTTTGTTACCTTCGTAAATCTTGGTTTACAGGCGTTGCAGCTACCGCCCATGGCTTTGCCCGTGTGGTATGTTGATAAAAAGTAGCCTATGTGTTATTCCGGAGTGTATCCTATACCTGTGCCAGATTTCATACAGATCCGTCCAGCCGTTTTAGCGTGATTGAGTAACAAACATCCAAACATCGTAAATTTCGCATTTATAATATTAGTAAGATTGTGGGTTTTTCTAACTAGTTATATAATTCAAAGTAAATACTTAAGTCAAAATTTAAAAAAGTGCAACCAGTTCATTGCAATTAATTCCTCGGATCGATGCAAGATAAGCTTATCTTGTCGACCTTACGATAACACAAGGTTACCGTTATGTGTCATAATGTTAGATTGCAATATTGATAGCATATCTAATACATAATATTAGTACATTATCTAGAACTCTTTGAACGATCTTGTCAATATTGATAACAATATTACCTGAGTTTCGATTGAACGATAACTAAGTGTTACTAGTAGGTATTTTGACTAATTAATTTTTAGTTTGGACTAGGTATAACACTGTATGTAGTGCAAGAGGACTGACACAAGAGGTATTTCAACCAAAAAAAGGCCACAAACTTGCTTCGGTTGACACTGCCGCGTAAAGTGTCTCATACTTGATTCCCGGACTCTCTAGGATTCCGTTGTAACGCATTTTAATATGGACAACCTACATATCATCATCATCAGCCTATAAGTGCCCACTAATGAGCAAAGGCCTCTTCTCATACAGAGAAGGTTAGAGCATTAATCACCACGCTTGCTCAATGCGGGTTGGCGATTTCAAACTTATAATTAGAAATTATAAGTCCAGGTTTCCTCACGATGTTTACCTTCACCGTATGTCAGTGGTGTCTAAATAATCTTAGAAAGTACATATAACTCGGAAAAAGTCACATTGGTACTTGCCAGGTTTCGAACCTACACCCTCATGAATGAGAAGCGGGCTTCTTAACCTCCGGGCCACCACGACATCAGACATGATATCACCTACATATTCGCTAAATGGTAAATGAGCCCGTGTCACGCCGTGTCAGCCCGTAACTGACGAAAATAATTGCTAATTTAAAGTCTAAATATCGGTCCCATTTTTACGGGGAATATTATTCAAAGATTTCTGAAAGACAGCGAGAGAAAATGTAAGACTCTTGTTGGCTACAAAACCACCCCGTACCACCTTCTACTATTAGTCATGCTGCAGCAAGTATATGTCATTACGCTTTTTTGTTGTGGAGGGAAAATCATCAAACGATTTCTCTCCCGCGGGATAAGGCGAGAGGCGCGCTTCAGAGAATCGATAGGATAACTTCAGCTAGGGTTGCGGGGCTATCGCAAAAAGGTACTGCTGCCTCGGCCTAGAGCAGGAGCAGGGGGGTAACCATGACGTTCAAATTAAAATTGTTTTAATCTTACTTCAGGTTGGGTAAGGCAAAGAGCTATAAAAGTTGTCTAGCTTTGTCGCTTAGCCCCCTGGAGCAGTGGGTTTTTAGTCAGTAAGAGTCTGTTACTTCCTCTCGCTTCACCCTGGGCAAGAGTATACATTAGATGATTTTCCCCTCAAATAAAAGTAAGGCGGGAGGAAGTGTCAGGCTTACTAACTCAAAACAACCCTGTTCCTTCTCCTGCTCCAGGCCGAGGTTGCGGTAGGCACCTTTTTGCCTGCAAACAACACGAGGCCAAAAGGTCCATTATCATGATATTTACCGTCTAAGCACACTAGAAACAATATGTTTTTATTGCATGTGACTAATTATATTGAGTAGGTAGCAATTAAATTATCAGTAACGTCGAGACATTGACATAACTTGTTATCTTTTGACCCCTACGTCACGAACACACCCACACGCGTCACTTATTCTTCGGCGCGTCACTCAAGTTTCATTAATACTTAAGTATTTTTATTTCATCCTTTAGTAATTAAAACTTGACTTTTTGGAAACCTCTGGTGGTTTTTAGTGCCCCCTGATGGTAAGCAATCGGGCTGCCCAGCTACAACACCAGGGAGGAATTAAAGAGAAGTGCGTGGCTGGATTTTCGGGGTTAGAAATTTGAGGACTTTGCATTTGAGATTGGACTTTAGCAGGAGTATTAGGCCTCCAGTAACCTAACTCACTCGTAGTAATTATGTTACTTAAGGTATGGTCGGTACTATAACTTAACTAGATTGAATTATCAGTCATTCGGAGACTTATGATGAAAGAGTTCCGAATTAGGAATAATTAAGTATACAAAAAAAAAATACCAAAAACTAAACACTATAATCTGTTTTATAATTATTATGGTTATTTAATACTTCATGCAAAAAAAGTTTGTAGGCAGGTACCTACAATAAAGATTAATACAGTTGACTTTTTTAACACCCTACCCTTAAAATATTGTTAAGCAGGACACAAAAGCAACTGCTATACTTAGATGAATAAGTACAAAAACGTTATGCAATATCGATATGTTATTTTCGGTGATAAAGATCACAAACATTAAACAAAACCTACTACTGTTCCTTTCACGATTTATCAATCTAATGCATTATATCTTCGCTCTTTTTTTATAAAATATCTTACAATTCAAAGGAGTACAAGTCCATTAATAAAGATTACGCATATAGTGGCCCCAGGATTGACCCCTGTCGCACGCCACCGCTCTTTTGTGACTAGCACGCGCATGGCGGCTGATCCGAAAAGCTACAACTCCGTTGACATAGATTTACTTTACTTACTGACTGATAAAAATCCTGTACGCAATATATTTCATACTTAAAAGTTATTTTGATACTTTTAATTAAACAATGTGTTTTACGCAACTTAGCCAAGGCGTGGCTAAGATTACAGAAGTAGATACTTAAAATTAGTACTTCCTCGAAGATTCCTCAAATTAATATTTTTCCAGTAACATTCTCGTGACATGCTTAAATTGAGTAAATCACAAGGGCTTTTCTTAAACTTAATTTAGATGTTTCTTAGTTTTAGTTGGAGATAACCTTCGCAACGTTGCCGCGTTGTCACTCTGCCGGTAGTAACTCTATTATTAATAGAATGTTTTGAATATAACACAACTTCGCGCGATAACCCTAACATTATTAAATTGTGATTAAAATTATTCCATTTAGGCATATTTTGAAAATAACTCTTACGTAGGTATATGGAAATCTTTATCTTTAGGTACATTAGGTACCTATTGTGAAACGGAACATTTTAATTTGGACATTCTTGTACTCGAATTGTAGGTATCTGCCTATCTAAGTTTTTTTTAGATTACGTTAACCTTTACTCTGTTGGGGCCTTTGGGGGTAATGACTACAAGTCACACCCATTGTGTCATTATTTCATTCAATTGCTCCATAAAAATGTCTTGGTGACGTGCCTACCCATCTAATTAGATTATACGACTACAGCAATAAATTCTTATCTAAATAGTTAGTAGATCAGAAAGAATTTAAATATTGGTTACCCAAATTATTTATTATTATCTTTCTAACTACAGATACCACTTTATGGGAAAATCTTTGCAAACCTAGGATTACAATTTTCGGTAATTCTTGGTACCTATTGTGCAGGCCATTCTATGTCTAAGATACTTCTAGAATAGATTCTAAGATTCTAAGATAGATTCTATGTTGAAGGTACCTTCAACAAAAACCCAAGCAGTCCGCGAGCAACACGTTCTTCCTTACCTAGCTAGGTACCCACCTATGGAAAACAAACTGTTTACAATATTAATCGAACCAAATATACCTAGGTATTTCCACGATATTTTTAATATGTTTACCATTCAACGTAATATTATTTATTTGTAAAGTGAATTACGTCTATCGTTATCGTTTATACCCAAATACAATAACAATGAACGCAGTATCTAAGTGTTTGTTTTTTTTGGTAGGTGGGTAGTCGTTAATAAATTTAATAACTTGATAACGTACCTCTTTTTCTTGTAGGTTTTTAAAAATTAAGTAGGTACAAACAATAGTTTATAATTAACTGATACAATTATGTATTTGCATATTAAGTTATCGAACTACTACATAGTAAAGTTGGAAGAAATTTTAATTTCGAGTACCTATAGGTACTCGAAACCAAAAATTCTCGTTCCGACACGAAAATAAACGACCCAGCTGACCAATACAACATTGTGAAATCTACGGCAATATTCTTAAGATTTCCATGTCGCAACATTTGGTTTTTAAACTTCGCGCAATATCAACATGATATTACCTACCTACCTATGTGAAAATATTAAGTCAATGTCAAATTCATCAGTGATTGAAAGAAAATTGTTCTGAAACCATGTTTTAGAAAACGTCACGTAAAACTGTGCGTTTGGGTCAACATAAACAATAATAAATAAATTAATCAATTTCACATTGAAAATAGCAATTGTGATGATGTAAGAGATTTTATTTTAGTACTTTAAGCGATTTTTTCTTCAAATTATATTATTTATGAGCAGGTGCGTTCAGAAACTCATAACCTAGTTTTGACATTACCACCACGTTATCGCTATTATCGCACGTGAACAATTTAAGTTTTGATTTGTGTTGGTACGTCTAATAAACTAATAAAAAACATAGATTCTGTGACAATACACGTCGAAGTTGATTGAACAGTTATGAAACTATTCCACAGTCGACAAGGCCGCGACTAAAGAGGTTAATTGTGATTATATCTGAAAAGAAAACGTTCTAAATCTGTAAGTTGGTTGCACAATATAATACCATTCGATTACTTCTACGCTTTTATAATAAATTCTATGATAAAATTCCCTATTTACTAAAGAGTAAGTTAAAATATTTTTAAACACTAGAAAAGTGGCAGAAATAACAACGAATGTTTAGTGTATAGCGGCCAAACATGAGGAAGTTTATAACCATTATTCTGAGTTATAGTTTGTTCAACAGAAGCCACATGCTGCACTCAAATAGACACAGAAACGATACTTATGTTGTCATTAATTATTCACCTATCACCAAAGACTGTTCATTACATTCTAATTTCAAAATCAGAAGGTAACTTTATTCTTGCTTGAATTTTAATTTTTTATTCAGCCGGTACAAAATGTAAACTTGTAAAGAGGTTCCAATCTGCATTTATAACCATTATGAGTGACACAACTTCATAAATATGTAGTCAAAAGCAGTTTTTACCTGATATGCAACAGAGATATTAATTGAACTTTTTAACCCAATGATGTTCTCATTTTTAAACTGTAATTATCTGGATTAATTTGGCTTGATGTGTATTCTTTGAAGATAATATGTTATCTATTCAGTAAATTGTTCGGTCATGTTGACCTAATGACCTATGTACGTTGACAGTAAGCGATGAGGCAAATCCTCCGCCTCCGAGTATTCAGTTCGCTACTGACATCCACAATGAGAAGTCACACTTACATTGATTCTCTGGGCTCGGCCAGGTAAATTAGAAATTTGTAAAATTTGTGTTGTGGCTTATTTAGATTGATTTTGTTTTGCCTATTTTTCCTTTGTTGTGGTTTTTTTTATAACTGCACTATTGTTTTTCTTTTTCATACATTTCTTGTATAATTTGTTTGGCAACTTTGTTATTTTTAGTTACTAAATTGAGTTTTGACTTTTATTTGTACTGTAATCCATCAGACTAATTCTGCTTATATTGAAAATCCATTTTAATGAAATGGAAAATATATTTGCCATTTTTCCATTGTAAAAAACTGAATTAATATCAAGTTTTAAACTATAACTCAATTTTTTTATCATTACTTCAGTATTTCTGTGACTAGGATAATTGGTTCTATTGTAATTTCAATACAACTAAACATTACCATTCATTGTGTAATAGAACAGTAAATTAATATTCAATTTATGTCATGGTCAGTGAAATTAAAATCATTGAAAACTTGCAATATTTTAAAATTGGTTCTCTAACAATTAAGAACCGTACTGATGTAGTATAATTAAGAGTTTTCTTTGTTTTATAGTTCACTAAAACAATTATAGTTTTTTAGATGTACAACATATAAAAAATTAAAATGTTTGTTTGTCCAACAGCATTATGGCCCGAATCCTCGACGGCAAAGCACTGGCAGGGACAGTGAAGGATGAATTAAAGGAACTTATTGCCAACTGGGTTAACCTGGGCAACCGGGCCCCTTCCATCCGTTGTATCTTAGTAGGAGAAGATCCAGCCAGCCATACCTATGTAAACAACAAGATCATAGCTGCAAGATATGTTGGAATTAATGCTGAAGTGATCAAACATGAGAGTACCATAACAGAAGAACAGCTCATTCAAGAGATTGAAACCCTAAATGCTGACAGCAGTGTTGATGGCATCCTGGTGCAGTTGCCAATACCTGAGACCATGAGTGAACGGAAAGTGTGCAATGCGGTTGCTCCAGAAAAGGATGTTGATGGTTTCCATATTGTGAATATCGGACAGCTGTGTGTTGACATGCCTACATTAGTGCCTGCTACCGCCTTAGCTGTTATAGAGATGCTGAAAAGGTGAGTTTTTGTTTTAGATATTTTTCTCATTCAGAGTTTTCAAGTGTAAAGTAACTTAGAATCTCTAATTTTTTTTTTTATTTAATAGGTGGTCGGCATACGAGCAGACGTATTACCTGATGGTAAGCAATCAGCGCCGCCCATGGACACTCGCAACGGAGGAGTTACGAGTGGGTTGCCGACCTTTTAGGGATTAGGGATTTGGAGATTTAGGGATTTAGGAGGGATTGGGGGAGGGGAAGGATTGGGTCTCCGGTAACCTCACTCACACGGCGAAACACAACGCTGTGGTTATTTCATGCCGGTTTTCTGTGTATCTCTAATGAAATAAAAAAGCCAAAGATTGAGAATGGGAATTGAAGTGTGAGAGAGCCATGCTCCGGCACGAATGGGTCGGCTCGACCGGATTGATACCACGGCCTCACAGAAAACAGGCGTGAAACAACGAAGGCGTTGTGTTTCGCCGTGTGAGTGAGGTTACGGGAGTCCCAATATTTCCCATTCCTCCCCAATCCTTATAAAAAAAAAATGCTTAAGTTATGGTATAGAACAGATATGAAAACTTTTCCGTATTTTTAGGTTTAACATTGAGACTTTTGGACGTAACGCGGTTGTGGTGGGCCGGTCCAAGAACGTGGGACTACCCATTGCAATGATGCTGCACAGTGACAAAAAACACGACAATGGTTTGGGCATGGATGCGACAGTCACTATCTGCCATCGCTACACTCCAAGAGAACAGTTGACCGTCTTCTGTCAGAATGCTGATATCATAATCACAGCGACAGGTATTTATTTTCTTTTTGTTTCAATTTTTTATTTATTAAAAATATTTTTTTTCTTTGAAATGTTTCCTTAGTATTTTGTTCCGGAACAATTGCTAACATACTTAACCATGTAATGACTCTCAGTGCGTTCATGATTATTGGAACACATTTTTATGTTGTAACTTATTGAGCTTAGTGACACTTTAATTACTCGAATTAATTCCGTTGAAAGTTTCTTTAGCCAAAAGTTTTTTTTTTTACTTTCTATTGGTTTAAGAGTGCTTTACTTACATAAAATTAAAAATTAATTAGTCCGCACTGTTAAGCTAGAAGAACTTCCCATTTAGTTATGGTAAGTATTTATTGACAATACAAGTTTTGAATTATAATTTGTTCTGTCTTAGGTGTACCTAAACTAATAAAGGCGAATATGATCAAACCCGGCGCGACCGTCATAGATGTTGGTATCACCAAGATTACAGATGAAAATGGAAAATCTAGACTGGTTGGCGATGTTGACTATGATGGTGAGTTTTTACTTGACAGTATATGATCTATATTTGTCCTTTTCCCGTCACTTCATTCGTCAAACAGACTAATTGAAAGACTTTTTTTATTTTATTACTTGTTTTAAAAAGTTTTAAAGATTTATTTGAAAATCTTTATTTTTTTATGAAAACTGAATTTTAATTTGGAAATTTCTATTTTATATGTTATATCGTTCTTTTGCTCTATTACGTCATTTTTGTATCGATAACTTACTACTCAAAAGTTTTTCAAATACATATTCCGAATTTAAACCCTTAAAAAAATTGCACGTCTGTTTTTTGTTTTTGTTCAAATATTTATTTTTTTATTTTTTCCGTACAGAGGTTGTCAAAGTGGCCGGTGCCGTGACCCCAGTTCCCGGTGGAGTAGGACCTATGACCGTAGCTATGCTGATGCATAATACATTCCAAGCAGCCAAACATCTAGCACAAAAGGCTCAATTACATTAAAAAAATATTATTTATACTATCCCTAATAAGTCCGAAAACATTACTACTATTTATTTCAGTTATTGGCTTTTGAAACATAAACTTTATTTCATTGTAATAGAGACTCTTTTTGTGTAATTTTTGCGGTCGCCTTGTTGATTAATTTTTTTTTTATTCAGCCAGTTTAACGCAAGTTTCTTGCCTATTAAACCAGTGTAAAAGTTTTATTTTTTCTTTGAAAGTTTCTTCGAATTTGTAACGTAAAGGAATCTCGAAACCGGAACATTTAGAAACTTATAAAAAAACCATCGTGCCTTTAAACGTACCTATATATTTTAGATTAGGATTAGCATGTAAGAATCATTGAGTATTATAAATATAATTATTTTAAGTGGGTATGTAGGTATTTTAAGTGTAGCGTCGATTCATATCAGGCCATTCACAGGAAATTCACCCTTTTCTCTGCCGGGTAAGCCACATATTCCTTCTTACTGAGTGGATTTTTTAAGGTATTTTAAATATCAGCAATAGTTTGCTATTAGATAGGTATTCAATTTTGTAATTTATAAAGTAACGCTAAAATGTCAAAATTTGTTAAGTCAAAAATAGTCCACATTAAAGTGATTTATGTTATCAAAAAGTATGTGCCTTACTATGCGGATATAAGGTTGAATTTCCTGTGACATTTCAGATTGATGTTTCGAATCTGCTTATATGAATGGACCCTAATATTGTTATCTAATGAAAACATCTACACATTTTTTCTATATAGATTTTTTATTAAAACATTCCTCTATTTAATCAGGAATGGCTGTGAATATATTAATGTTGATACTTAAAAATTCCGTCGTATGCAATATTGAACTTTATCTACAACAGCTTAGAGTCAATATTCCTTTGAGCAGTCTTCCAGTGTATTCATACTTAAGTAGTTCAATAATTTAACTCTTAAAGTAACGAAGATAAGGTTCAATATTACTTGCTGAAAACCTACTTGTGAAGTAGCTAAATTCAATTGTGTTAATTTAATAAATATGATTCGCACTGTATTGTAATTTATTCCTATTTTTAGATCTGTAAGGTTAGACGTATACAATTAACAAATAACTTTAAGACTATGTATTTAGGATACATATTAGCTTGTCTAATATTTTTTGTTGTTCAAAACAACTTTAATTATATTATATTATAAACCTTTCTGTTTCAATCTTTGTTTTATTTCCCGACAATTTTATTTACAAAGACATTAAATTAATAAAGCAAAAAGCACCGTTATTGCTTAGAGTTATAGATGCAATTTGTAGAGCAAATAACATGTTTTATGTAACATGTAGATGTACTAAGCTTCTATCCGATTACATAAGCACAAAGTTTCACATACGCATCACACGCAGACCCAGAAACAATAATTTTCAAATCAAACAAAAAGACGTTTCATAGGTACGGGGATCTTAATCCTTGACACATTTTTTAGCCACAAGTTCAAACACCGGTGGTTTCGCCTTGTGAGTGAGTTTACCGGAGGCCCAATCATTCCCCTCCTCCAATCCCTAAATCTCCAAAAGGTCGGCAACGCATTCATAACTCCTCTGTTGTTGCGGGTCCCATGGGCGGCGCTGATTGCTTACCATCAGGTAATCCCTGCGCTCGTTTGCCGACCAATCGCAAAAAAAAGGAAGGACCAATATCGTGTGCAAAAAAAATGTTAGGTAGGTACCTAAGTACTTACATAAAAATAGAATTGAAAAATGTTTCGCGTCAATTGACGGTTGACTTTTGTTTCGTGTTTAATGGTGGTCAAATATTACTTACTTCCCAACCAATTCCAATTGGAAGTTCCCATCTTCCTAAAAACCAAAACTCATGACCAGTCATGAGTTTAGACAGACATTAGTTTTGCTGTCGCTTTACAATTATATGCAAAAAGACACAAGAAGAACCACGGAGTTATAGTTAATTGCAATTTTAAAATAAAGCACTAATATTTTTTTGTGATAATTCGGCAAACGAGCATGTGAAGAAGTGAAGTGGTTGTGATGATTTTCACTTGAGTGCTGTGTGAAGTGTTGGTGTTAAGTGATTTTGGTGCAAAACGCTCCTGAAAGATTCTACATTCACCAAGAGGTCTCGTGAAGAAGTAAGTATACTTCTATCCTACTAATTACTATTATAAATTTGAAAGTTTGTAAGAATGTATAGATGTATGTATGTTCGTCATTCATTCACGCAAAAACAGCTGGACGGATTTGATTGAAATTTGATATACATGTGTATTTAGATTAACACATAGGCTGCTATTTATCAACATACCACGCAGGGGAAATCGCGGTCGGATACTAGTATTCTATAATAGCTACCTACTACAGCTAAAATTCCAGACGTTATAATACCATAGCACACAAGTTTGTATGCAAACACAGGTGCATTCCCTGCCCCTCGCTCTCGTAGTCTCGTGATCCTACGGGGCGGCAATCCGACACGACCGGAGAGTGATCAGCCTTGATAAACACTATCTGCCTTGAGTGTGTACTAGAACCGTGTCCGATTCTCAAAGAGACTATTTGAAGGAGTCCACATAACCCGTTTAAAATCGATGGTAGATATGGATGGAGGGTTTTTTTTTGAGGGGAAAAGTAAGTCATCAAATTATTTCTCCCGCCTCGGAAAAGGCGAAAGGGAGTAATAATTAGATTATTGACTATAAACACACAGTTTATTTTCCTACTAAGAGCCGGACTTAGGTATATGATAGCGCTTGCAACCGCAATCTCAGCCGTGGCAGTGTAAGCTACCTATACCTACTTACCTACCTACAGAATATTAGAAAATTTTATTTATTTAATGCACACAAACTTCTGTACACAGGCGGACTTAATGCCGTAGGCATTATCTACCAGTCTGACCTTTGGGTGATGCAGAGATGAGTAAAAACGGTGAGCGCAAGCAGCAAAATTTTAGTGGTCTATCTACAAATAATATCTACCTAGTTGCAAAACCTTTTTTATGTCATGCGATAGATCGGCAAACTAGCCTATCAATTATCTGATGAAGAGTTACCTACGAGTGCTTTGCTGGCCTTTAAGGGCTAAAAATTAGTCAAAAATAACCTTTACAAATTCGTTAACATTAAACAAAAGGTAGGTTACATAAACAACATTCGATTTACAAAAACGGCACACTGATGCACACATGAACAGTTCGTAGCATTAGACGTAAAAGTGGGATGGCATGATTCAATAACCGTGAGTAAAAAAGAGACAAATATGAAAAAGTGTGGCTAGTTAAGCACATTTTAATGTACCTATTGTATCACTTGCTGAGCGCTTATGACCTATCTACGCCTTTTTTCTTATAAGTAATATCATTGGGTACACGTATAATGTATAAGGGGTCGCGGATAGGCGCAATAAGACACCTCGACTTCGGCCTAGAGAAGGAGAAGGAACGGGGGTTTTTTAGTCAGTAAGAGTCTGACACTAATAGGTGGGAGAAGTCATATTATGATAATTTTCCCCTCATAAAAAACACATATAATGTGTATGTATGTATGTAGCAACTGTGTAGGTAGGTAGTTGCTACATACCAAGGTATCTGACTACACATTATAATTCCCCCTTTATATCAAACCCAATAGATATTAAGGATCTATCGCTAATCTTCCGACCTGCTATGAAGATACCACATGTTGAGAACAAGACGTGTGTTAATAATTAATTAGTTGAATTAACCCGCTTCATAGCACATCGTAGGTACTTGTAAATCACAGGCTTTTGTGGTGTCTTCAATGAAACCACACCCATAAACTGACATAGGTAAGAATATGTGTTGATAGCTACGTATCTACGCCTTTTGATTATCTACATATAAGTCTTTAGGAAAAGCAAAATTAATCGAATTTTGAATTTAACGTGTTTCATTCTGACATTTTCCTTTACTTGGTAGATTTATCGGCTTATACCAGTCATGTGTTCTTAAATAATTAATATCTTGGTAGAAATTTTCGCCTTTGTAGAAGTATTCAAACGGAAATAAGACTAGTACTTGTAGAATACCAGACAAATAATATATGCAAGTGAGTTGGTACCTACCTATTTTTCTGCAGTGAAAATAGCACCATAGCTACCTACAGATAAGGTAGATGTTTAATCCTTGTAAAGTTTTATAATGTCTTTTCATACCATACGCTAACTTTGCGACAAAAATAGAACTGAGTTTACATTACTTTCCATGGTTTCCAGACAAGTCGCCATGGCAAATACCTACTTATCTTGATTAAAAAACTTATCCGATGACATCAGGATGACACCAGTAACAAAATTCCTATTCTTCTTTTGTGACGGGAAATTCATCAAATTTTAATGTCTCCTCTTGGTAAGGCGCGAAAGAGTGTCAGACTCTTACTGACTAAAAACTCCCCTATTAAAACTTATTGTCTTTCGATCGAACATACTCTACAATATCTTATAATATTATAAAAAGGTAAAATTTGTAAGTTTGTGTGTTGTTTAATCTTTGAAACCGCAGCTCGGATTGCCAAAATTCTTTTACAGATAGATAGCTACAATGTTCCTGGGTGTAGGTATAGGCTATTAAACATCACGCTACGAACAAATAGCACGCTGAGCAGCGAGTGAAACCGCGCGAGAGTAGCTAGTTACTCTAGGACAGGTATGTCCATACTAAGATATTATTATCACCGCTTATCACAAGTCACATGTGGGAAATATTGTAAGTTGTAACAGAGTTCAACATAGTTCAAGATTGCATGAGTTCATAGTAAAGCGAGTTGTACTTACCTCGCAATCCAACGCCCGATATTATTATTAATGACTGTAGTTTACTTAATTGATTTCCTATTGTTAACCCTTTAGCTTTATGCCCACTTCATTTTACGACCGTTTGCGTGTCACATGCAAAAATAACTTTTTATAAGTAAGTAGGTCGACTAAGACTTTCATAGCAGGTCAACACATGTACTTGAAACTATGAAATATTTTAGATTCAATTACAATACAACAAGGTTCAGAATTTGCTGTTTCATATTTCAATCTTCCTCCGATTGACTTTCTCGGAACCCCTTCGCGTACTTATACAAATTTACAATACAGATTTTGTTAATTTACTAATTTAAAAGCAATAAATTATCGGTTTTCAATATTATCAGTACTTAGTAATAATTTATTAAGCACTTAA